GGTGACGCTGGTCAGTAGTGTTAGCGTGGGGTGTAGGTACATGATCTAAGTAGAGTGATAAAGCCATTTTGGCCTCCGTCCCCTGGAGAGCTAGAGAAAGCCAGCTCCTGGCTGTGCCTGGGTCAGCCGTGCTGGAAGAAAACTGGGCTGAGCAAACTACTTTGAAGCAACGCTTCTAGTCTGTAAATTTGGTTCAAGCCTCATGGGATATTTGTACCTGTTTGTCTGTAACCATTGGTAGCAAAACCCCTTTGCTTTGGGGCACTTTGGGGGCTCGGTGTTTTATTACCCAGCCAGCCAGGTGCTGTGGAGAGCCCCGTTAGTGGAGCAGCCAATGCCCCGAGGCTTTGACGGGAGAGGAGCTGGGTACGGCAGAGGAAATGCTTGGGGCACTGGGGGCTGGTGGGTCACGCTGTGTGGAAGCCAAGATGAGGGTGGCAGAGTTCGGAGCCAAGCTGCACCGCGCGGAGTCAGCCAGGGTCACAGGGCAGGCACTGACACTGCCCCATCCTGCCCTGGGGACCCCCCTGCGGGACAGACCAGTGTGTGCTCAGCAGAGGCTGAGGCTGGCCAGGAGCAGGGCAGGCCAGGGACAGCTGTGCTCTGTTGCCAACCCCCAAGCTTAAAAAAAAAAGAGTAAATTTAAAACTCTCTGACTTTTAAGCCAATCACAGTTGGGCTTGTCAGTTGATTTCCTGCTGATCCCATTTTCCAGCTGCTCCCTGCAGCCAGACTGGCTAGAAATACACTTTTCCTTTGACTGCCAGCGGCGAGTCTGATAATCCCAGGACTCCAGGAGCTGGGGCTGTCAGAGAAACCCTGAGAGCCAGCAGCACTGAACGGGGGCTAGGGGGCGTCCTGGCCATGCAGGTTAGTAAGGCGCTAACACAGCCCCATTGCAAACAGACTCACAGCCCCTGCTGGGGCACTGGTGCCAGCGGGACAAGAAGTGCAGGGCCCCAGCCAGTCTGTTACTCCTCTGCCAGCAGCGACCGGAGGGCTGTGGACGCCCAGGCAGCAGGCGCCGCGCTAGGAGAGTGCGAAAGGAAACTGGCTCCGTAACAGGAGCGATTCACTGGCACAGCCGCACACGAGCGCTTACCTCTGCGGACGGTGCCACCCGCTACCCCGGCTGGTGCCCGTGGGCAAGGCTGATGCCATGTAGCCGGGCACAGGAGCCCGCCCAGGGGAAGGGAGTCGGGTGTTGCGTAGGCAGTGACACCCCCAAGGACGGTCAGAGCGACAAACACCCTGCGTAGACAGGCTGGCAAGACAGAGTGAGGGGAGACGAGGGTTTGCGACCCAGGGACCACTTGATGCCAACTGGCCATAAGGGTGACTGGGATCCCGCGGGTGGGGATTTACATTCGAACTCACCGCGGTGTGGCATGGGAGGTCTCCGCTGAAAGCCGGGGTCCTGCCGGGCTCAGGCGTGGCACGGGGCACAGGAGTTACGGAGCAGTACAACAGCTCTCGCATGGTCCCCCCAGCCGGGCGGGGAGACCCGTTTCGTGCTCGATGTGTGTGGGAGGAGTTGGGAGCTTGGCAATGGAGGCCCAGTTAATACTGATGGCAAAGAGCTGGCGGAGGTCTCGGGAGGAAGCTAACGGGAATGGGGGGGGGCTAGCTTGAGGTGAACAGCAAAGGTGTCTTCTGGTATGTTTGGGGTGCAGGAGGAACCCGGGCACCCTTCAGTCCATAAGCACAAGCTGCCAGCGGCTCCCTCTTGTGAGACGGGACCTCACCCAAAGTGGCTACAATCAGAGGGACAGCCTGTGGGGTACGCCAGCCCAAGGGTACGGTAGCCTTAGGGGATACTCCAGCCTGTGGGGTACGCTGTCCCGCGGAGTACACTGGCCCGTGGGGTACGCTGGCCCGTGGGGTATGCTGGCCCGTGGGGTACTCCGGCCCGCGGGGTACGCTGGCCCGCGGGGTACTCCGGCCCGTGGGGTACTCCGGCCTGCAGGAGAGCGGGGATGTCCAGCCCTAGGACGCGTTATCGGTTTATTTGCCATGGATCCGTTTGGCCCCATCTCGCCCATTGGTTTCGCTGTTCTTGTGGGTCTCTAATGGACCTGGTGCTGCGTGGCCACAGGCCCGGCGGGCTGAGGTAAAACTGGGCAAGGCGGCGCTGGGTTCTGGTGGGCACCCAGGGGCTGAATATCCCTTGGTCGGGACGTGGAGGCTGGCATAGGCCAGAGGACAGCGCTGGAGGGGCACCAGGCTGGTGGCGGTGGGGAGCTGATGCCCGCCGGCCCAGGCTGCAGGCAGGGTAAGGGGGGCGCTCGGGAGTCTCCTCTCCTCCGGAGGGTTAGGCTCCCAGCCCGCGGTGGGTGGAAAGGCGCCAGGTGAGGAGGGCAGTGGGGACATGCACCACCACAGGAATTACTGCACCGGCTGTAGTGAGGTGTTTAGCCTAGACAGCCTCAGCCCCGTTCTCAGGCCGTGTCCGCACTGTGGGTGCCAGAGGAACTGTAGCGCAGACACAGACTGCACCAAAGGCGGGGGGGTCCGGCGCTGTCATTCCACCCCCCTCGAGCGGCGGCAGAACACGTCTGCTGACGGAGCTGGATCCACACACCAGGGGTCCGGGCGGGTTAGCTCGGGGGGAGGGGGATTCTCACACTGTAGCTACGTCTGACCAGGCCGCAGCCGGTTCTTGGGCTGAGCGGGTACGTTGTAGGGGGAGCTCCTGGGGGAAGCTGAGCGATGGGGGGTGCAGCGTGGGTCTCTGGGGCTTTCCTGTACGGGCCCCGCATGGCTGGCTCTGGCCTGAGCGAGGGTCCAGCAAAGAGGTGCCAAGGGAGGGAAGAAGGGTGCTGGGGAGGTGCGCCAATGGGAACCGCCTGCTTCTGCCCTGGAATCCTGGGTTTTGGCCATGATGCCACGCTCTGTGCAGTGACGGCGGGGCCCTGCCCCCACCTCAGGGCATTAGGTGCCCATCCCTCCGCAGCTCCAAAGGGCCCAGCCCTCCTGAGACGCCCACCCACTTTGGAGCTGGGCCCCGGCAGAACCCCGTGCTCCATCCCCCAGCCTGGGGGAGCCCGGGCAGCCGAGCCAGAGATGCCCCCGCACACTCGTTTACCACACCAGTTTATTTGAAATCCAACGTAACACAGATGCAGGTTTGCACAGCAGGCGACCGGGCAGACAGGCAATACGAACAGGGAGACGGGCAAGGCAGCAGCGGCTGTGTGGCATTCTCATCAAAACGGCAGGACTACCCGGCGGTGGTGCTGGAACCCACGGGGGGCGGGCACTGAACCTCCAGGCCCGGGGCCCGCACCCCTAGCAGCAGGCCAAGTGCCCTGCGCTGCAGTCAGGGAGGGGCTCTTGGTGGGTGACCAGAAGGGGAAAAAGAACATTCCCAGATCTCAGTGTGGAGCCTGGGGGCTCCCGCTCCCCCCAGCGCATCCCTGCTCTGGGATCCTGCCAGCCCCCAGGCTAAGGAGCCCAGCAGAGTGCGGACACCCCCCCCTGCCCCGGGCATGGCAGGCAGGGGGCGGCGCGCCGGGAAAGCCACATTTGCAGCGTAGTCGTCGTTTTTGACAACGTGAAGTGAGACCAATAAATAAACGGGACGTCCCAGTGCCTGCGAGGCCGGGGCAAGGCCAAGCCTCATGCGGCGCAGGACGCTCCTGGAGCCCGCACGCTTCCCAGGCCATGACAACCGGGCGCCCGTGACCACAACAGGCAAAGTGCAAGTCAACTCCATCCCGGGGCAATATACAAAGGGATCGGGCTGTAGCTATAATACAGGGGCCAGGCGGGGTGGGGCGGCGCGGGGGCGGGAGCCTCCCGGGGAAGGCTGCAGCGCTCACACCAAAGGTGACAACTGAAATAAATAAGGGGGATGAGGTGGTGAGGGGCCCGAAGGGCCGGGGCAGGGGGCCAGGGCCCTTCCCCCCCCCCGGCAGCCCCATGCGTATTTACAAGTCGGTTCTCCTCTCTAGGCCTTTGTTGGAGTCCGTGGGGTCCCAGGATCTGCGGCTGGACAGAAAGCACTGGGGTGGTGGGCTGGTTGGTTGAAACTGTTATAATGTGTGATAGTGCAGGCCGCGGCTGTACCCGCAAACCCTCCAGTGTCTATGTCAGGACGAGCACGGCTGGGCGGCGTCACGGGATGCAGGAGGGCTCAGAGCTAGTATTCGTCCTGGTCCTCCGGCTGCTGGTCCTCCACCTCCTCATCCTCCGGAGGCGCAAAGCCTTCCTGTGGGGGGCACAGAGACGGCGTGAGCCTCCCGGGCCACGGAACCTCCCCGCAGAGATTCCCACCAGGGAGGAGAACTCAGCCCCAGCCGCTCCCAGCGCCAGGGGCACGGCCCCGACCGGCCTCCCCGGGAGCCACCCGCGCTCAGTGCCCGGCGGGCAGGCACTGAGGAGAGACCCGCACAACGGGATGGAGCCAGGCACGAAGCTCTGCCCTGGCGCCAGCTGGGCATGAGCCCCAGACCCCGCCCGGGGCAGGGCCGAGAGACGCTCAGCGGCGGGAGACGCCGCCCCGTGGCACCCGGGTGGGCACTGACCTCGGTGGCATACAGGATGCCGATGATGCCAGAGATGACGGGGCTGTTCTCGCTCTCGTGCTCCTGGCAGATCAGCTCGATGTCCCGCAGTTTGCTGAAGTAGAAATCGCGCTCCTTCTCCAGCCCGTCCACTGTCAGCTTCAGGTCCAGGAGCTGGGCAGGGCAGGGAGAGGGGCTGTTACCGGCGCCCGGCGGGACCCGGCGTCTGCGTCCCACAGCGCCCTGCTGGACCCGGTGCCTGTGCCCCCCAGCGCCCCGCGGACCCGGTGCCTGTGCCCCCCAGCGCCCCGCGGACCTGGCGCCTGTGCCCCCCTGGACTCCTGCAGCGGGACTGGCATCTGTGCCCCCCAGCGCCCTGTGGGACTGGTGCCTGTGCCCCCCCAGTACCCCTTATGGGGCTTGGTGTCTGTGCCCCTCGTGGGACCTGGCACCTGGGCCCCCCAGCGCCCCCCGTGGGACTGGAGTCTGTGCCCCTGGAGCAGCCCCACCCTCCCGCCCCTGCCCACCTGCTGGTTGAGCTCCAGGATCTGGGTGTCGGCCTCACTGCCCCCGTTGCGGGCAGCAGGCGGGTTTTTCCGGGTGATGTTGCTGGGGATGATGTTGGTCACTCGGGTTGGCACCGGCATCGTCTTCGGGGTTGTGGGGGAGGTTCTCTGGGGGGCTGGAGAGAGCCGCCCAAGACAGCCAGAGGTTAGCACGGGTCCCGGCGCGGCCCCCCCACCCAGGCACAGCTTGCTCCCAGAGCCTCTGCCCTCCCCTGCGGGGTGCGGGCCACGGGCATGCGGGGCGCGGGGGCAGCGGGTCAGGCAGGCGCTAGCCAGGGGGTTGCAGACACAGACCATGGCGCAGGGTGGCGCTGCTCAGAGCACAGGACTGGGTTCCACGCCCTAAGTCCTGGGTCTTCCCTGCCTCAGTTTCCCCAGATGGGAGAACAAGGTCTCCCCCATGGTGGTGCGGGCTGCGGGGGGCCGTTCATTAGCAATTGTGGGGGCCAGGGAAGGGCAGGGCACGAGAATGCCTGTGGGGCAGCCCCATGGCCCTGGGGGCAGCGGGGTACGGATGTCGCCCCCTGGAACTGGCGCTCCCCCCTGCCAGGCGTATGCTGGGGAGGTGCCACGCACAGCCACGCACCTGCCCCAGCTCGGTGCCTCCCCCGTGGCCCCCAGAGCTCAGCAGGCTCCTCCCCTGCTGCACCCCCCAC